GGAAGCGCATAAGATGGAGGAGGGGGGGGGGCGAGAGACGATATCTGAGCGATCTATCGAGAGGTCGCCGTGTAAAAGAAAGAATTCTTCGGTCGGGAAAAATCGTGCACGCTGGAAAACAAGTCGTGGGGCTCATCGGAGTCGAGTTAAACGAACGCCAGAGCATTTCCGTGTTGCATATATATATATATATATATATATATGGCGAAGCAGCTACCCCCATTCTTTCAGCGACACTTGGCTGTTCCTTCAATCAATGTTGTTGGCAAAACGAAAGCTGAAAATTTGACTCCACGAGGCGATCACGAAGCCGAGTCAACACATTGCCGGGCGCGTTCGATTCGCCTCGTCTTCCAGTCGATTCGATTACTCGTATTTCGCGGCTGAATTAATCTCCCGATGGCTGAAGGAACATTTTGTATCGCCCATAAAGCGGCGTTTCAGTTTCGTTGACATTTTACTGCCGACTGCAGTCGACCTTGCAGTTGAAACTCCCACGTCAGACTGCCGGTATGCATCCGGTATCGGTGGTATGTAAAATTCGCGCAACTCTCTCTCTCTCTCTCTTTCTCTCAGCTCTCCTTATTCTCCTGTGGACCTTTCTGTTCCCTTCCAACGTAGATACTCGAAATTCTTCCGACGCTGCGCGCGACTCTCGCGATACTTGTTTGCACAAATGGCCGGACACATGGCGCTGATGAATGTTTACTCGGCAATAAATATGACACCGCTCCTCTTTCTCCGCCGGCTCTCTCTCTCTCTCTCTCTCTCTCTCTCTCTCTCTCTCTCTCTCTCTCTCTCTCTCTCTCTCACGTTACACGGGGCTGCTGCTGCTGCTGCATACCAGCCAGACCCGAATTCCCGGCGTCGCTCGTTTTTCTCCCCCGGGATCTCGTCTCCGCGTTACTTCCAGGCGAAAATCGAAGGCGGAGGAGCGGATGATTTCTTGCCGCGCGTCTGCGACGTCTCTCCTCGTCGACGACTTCTCTTCGAGCCGATCCTACTTTCTTACGGCGTGCCGCGAGTCTGCGGATTTTCGCGACTAGCTTTCTCCCGCGATTATATGATAAAATCGCGGCGCGATTTTAGAGCGCCGCGCACGACGACGACGACGACGACGACGAATGCCACCGTCGCGTTTATCTCCGATCGGAAACGCCTTTGTGAACGGAGTGACGTCAGCGGGCGATATTTCTCGAAGCAGCCGGTTCGTGTTTAGCACCTAGAGCGATAACAAGAGTATCTGCTCGCGCCTCGTCCGTGCGAGATAAAGGTGCACACGAGCGCACTCGGAACGCGGTAACACACCTGGTGCCGACGAGGTGGGATGAGTCGTCGTTCTGCCGCGAGCGTGCTCGCGCGCGCCGGCCAATGGGAAATATCCGACGCGGAATCCTCGCGACTAGATATCCTCGGCGTTCGCGCTCTCTTCCTCTCCTTCCCCGTCCTCAGTCTCGGTCCACATGATTCGCGACGAACAAAGTCTGTTATCGCGGCGATTGCAGTGCGAAGTAAAATTTCCGCGAGGCGAGGCGACGCTCGTCAAATTCGCGACGACACGTCGCCGAGTGTCGTCTCGCGCGCACGCTTCGCAGAAATTCAACTCGTAACCTTGCGCGCGCGCGGCTCTCTTCGGCATGCGCGCTAATAATCGCTCTCACGTATCGCCGCGATACGATATTGAAATATTAATGGCCGAATGAATAATGATGATTAAGCGGATATATATACACTCTGGCTTCCCGACGCGCAGTCGCTGCCGGCTTCGTCGAAAGAGTCGCTCGAATTGATTGAACATAACACTTATAAATCTCTCTCTCTCTCTTCTGTTTTCTTCTCATTTCTTCTCATTTCTTCTCTTCTCTCTCTCTCTCTTCTCTTTTCCTGATATCGTTTATCGTGAAGTTTCCATCGGTCAGTTTTCATGACCATTGCACTGCTACTCGCTCGTTTTTCCGAAATCCAAGGGGTGACCTGGTAAAAATCGCCATCGTCGTACCGGAATGTATTGCCGATCGGTCCTCTCTCTCGCGCGGATGTTGCGCTCTCTCGCGCACAGTGCTGTTTCTGTTGTATCTCCGATAACGTGGGGCTCAGGGAGCCCCGGCTCGATCTCTCCGGGACGAACGACATTGTCGTCGGTAAGGAATTATCGCCTTGCCTCGCCCCGCCTCGCCTCGCTTCGCTCGACAGCGCAACGAAAATCGGCGCCGTGTCGATTTCGCGCTACGAGAGAGCGCCCCGTTACTCTCCTCACTTCGTTCGTCCACTTGGAAGGACGTACAGTCCTCGGGCGACCCGTTTTTACCCGGGCTGCTACCGGCGCGAGGTTTTTCGTAGCCCAGTCGAAAATTCGACGTCGCCTCGAGTGAGGAGCAAAAAATCGCGGAGCCGGTTGGCGACGTGAAGATGTCAGCTCCGCTGATTTTCGACGTATTACGGTGACTGTCGTGGCACCGTTCCGTTCAACGGCTCGTTGGCTACGCGCTCGTTGAGGACCGTCCTCGAGGAGTGTCGTATTTCCGTCGGCCGGAAAAACGTATACCGGTTTGCCTCGGCCGGAGCTTCGGTGCACGTGCAAATGCACCAGTGGTGCCAGAAGGGCCCGACATAGCGGTGCCACTATGAGACGGCGGGACCCCGAGTGTCACGGACGGCCGATTTTGACACTGCGCGCTCGATAATAATAGCCGTCCCTTTGTCATCGTTCGCTCGTACTCATCGTACGTCAACAGCCTCGTAATCGGTGGTGGATACCTGAAAATATATCTGGGTGTTAAACGACAGGCATTACTGGCGATATTAAAAAGAACCAGGTGGAATTTCTAGTCAGCCTAAATACCCAAACTCGCGAATCTATTCTATTCGGGTATCCGGAACCGGCGAATAAATAAAAATAAAGAAATAAAAAATTTCTCAACGGAATCATGTTTCTTTGCACGAGTACATTCTCCGGATCAATCCGCGTGTAGTAAAAGTGAACCAAGGTGAAGCCGACGAAAAGTGAACTTTGTCGGACGTATTTCGCACTTTACTTGTTTTACTTATCTTTCATCACACTTTGTACATTTTCATATGAAAACTATACATTGCATGGCGTATTCACTTTTCGTCAACCTTGCTGCGATACCCTTGGAATAACTCGAAGAATAAGTAAAAGACGGTAACGAAATAATAAATAATCGGCGGACGAGTATCCGGGTGCCTTGAGAAAACGCCGGGAAAAATATCCGGGTAGCCGGCGTTGACATCACCAAGCGGGCACTTCTCCGGCGGCGGCGGCGCTCTCTCGCATTCCGCCTCACAAAGGAGACCTTTCGGCCACCGGGTACATACCATATGTCGACCGTATGAGAAAACTGGTCGACCGGTGAGACGTCTGCGGATTCCGTGTGGCCTCCTTAAGCAGCTTCTGCTTCTCTCTTCCCTTCATCCCCCGGTCGTGCCATCCTCGAAGCGACGAGACGCGTACCCGTTCCCAACAGCTCCTCGGCTGTCTCCCGCCCCGCCGACCGATCCGACCAATTATTTCTCCTCCTCCTCCTCCTCCTCCTCTTCCTTCTCCTTCACCTCCTGCTCATCGAAAATCGACGCGATCCAAAGTGATCGAAACGCGTCGAAGGGCAATCGGCCGTGTAGCGCCGCTCGACGATCGCTAATTTGTTGTTACCGCGATCGCCTTATTCCTCGAGCTTTCTTTCCCCACGTTGCGCGTGTAATTAGTTGCCCTTCGGCAAATCCGCTAATCATCATTTCACGGAACGGCAGTCCCGTTCGCTCCAAACGCGAATCGATCGACCTCACTCGATGATTGTCCTCGAGTGGCCCTCTCGACTCCTTTGAAATTGCGACGAGTTTGACTGTAGAGTGCTCGGCATGGTACATCAGTCGACGATTCGGGGATGGTGGTAGCCATCGTTTCGGCGGCAAGATTCGAATGCATTCTGGTGCCATTCTACACGTTGCGTTGAGTAAAACGCGATTTTTATCGTTTATCATTCGGCAGAAAAAAAACTTGAAGCTCAGCAAATTCACGAAGCGACCAAGCTCGAGCTTTGTTTGTAACCTTATGGAGGCTTTCGGGCTTCAAAATTCTTCAAAATCATCTAGAAAACAACAGGTTTGAGTAACGTATAACTGAGTCTCGGGTTTCTTTTAATGACAAAGAGACAACCTCGCGCCTCGACACTCGCACGATATCTATTACGAGCACTTACACGATAGACTCGACGATTACAAAAGCGGGATAACCTGAGCGATAAATTACAAGCCGGAGCACCACGCGACAACGTGTAAAATGACGCGGAGTCCGTTCCAATCTCGACGTGTCGGGGCCTCACGATAATCGTGGCCGATGTTGCTCCATATTGCGAGCCAAAAGAGGTGACGTGGATCACGAGGAGACACGCGATGAGATTCCTGTGAATGGTCAGGACAGCGCGACCCAAGGTACGCGATCTTTGCTTGCATTCGCGACTGACTCGTCGGCCCTTCGAGAGAGCCCGGCGAGGCGGGCCGCCTAAGAAAAGCCTTGATCAGGCAACAGAGAAGACGGCAGAGCGAGGGGGAAGGGGACAGGGCAGAATTATGGCAAGAGGAGGGGGGCGACAGCCGACTCACGTATTCAGTACCCGATGCACCGTCGCACGGTGTGTGTCGCTCCGGTGCTCGCGTGATATCGAATCTCACTCTCCAGGACCTCGTACGTTGATCCGTGTTGGAAACGTAGTCGTACAGGTTATACCTGTGTGCCGAACGAGTGTCCTTTCGCGCAGCGTGGCGCCTCCCGTAGCGAATCTCGCGCATTGTGCATCGCACGAGTGTCCGTCGTCGTCCTTGCAGAGTCGAGCAAGTCGGACGCAAGGACATTCGGGTGTCCTTCCGCGGCGGCGTGCTCAGCGACACTCCGCTCTGCTCGTGGCGGATAGTCAGTCGGCGCTGTCAGGGAGGGAGGGAGGGAGAGGGAGAGAGAGGGAGAGAGAGAGAGAGAGAGAGAGAGAGAGAGAGAGAGAGAGAGAGAGAGAGAGAGAGCAACAAGTGGTCGTCGAAGGCGCGAACGAAGACCGAGCGCGTGCTCTTCAAGGCGATCTTAGGTTGTCCGGAGCCTCGCGCTTCGCTTCGCCTCTGACTGTCTGCGTTGTTCTTGAACGTGGGTCATCCTCGAGGAAGAAGGAGAGGAAGGTGAAGACTCTCGGAGGGGCCGAAGAAAGTGGCTCGAGGTCGGTCGGTCGCTCACTCGTTCGTTCGCTTGTTCGCTCGCTCGAGCCGCACGAATCCTCGAATTCCTCAGCGAACGCACGCCACACGATGCAACCGCTCGTACACGTCGTGTAACGTCGCCATCGTCATCGTCATCCTGAAACGGGAAGGATACAAGGGGATGGTGAATCTTCGTCGCGGCGAGACAGACGAGGTCGATCGAGACCGCTTGCTAGTCGCTCGCGCGAAAGAGGCCGCCGCCGCTCTCGGTGAAATTCCCGACGGTGGAGCGTTTCGAGTCGTGCGCTCGAGGTCGAATGCCTCGGAAGATGCGCTTGGATGCTCCGTATCGCGACCTACCGAGGAATGTGTTTGGTGAATGTGCTCCTTCGAGATCTGCCGCGATGACCGTCGCTTGACCCGAGATCTCTCGGACTGTGTTGATCACGCATCTGTACACTCGTATCGCGCATCCTGGAAATCCTGGGAATCGTAGCGCTCGAGTCGCTTGAATCAAAGGAACGACGTACTTGGTGACGTTTCAAGGGGGAATTCCTGACGCTCTTCGTCGTGTCGAAAGTGTGTCGGAACTCGAGCGCGTGCCAAAGCCAACGAACTCTCCGACCGCAGAGATGCCGGCTCGAACGGCCCATCTCGTCGTCGTTGATCGATGATAGTGGATATCGATAGCGCTGGAAGCGTCTATCGCGTCTGTCGAGGTCGAGGAGCTCTTCTCTATCTCTCTCTCTCTCTCTCTCGTTGCGAATTCACGGTCGCCTCTTGGATAAGTGTTCAGGAAATGTTAGTCGTGCTGATACAAACTGCATACTTCGCGTGCCAGATCCGTCTTTATCTAGATCGATGATAAGACTTTACAGGCGCTTCGAGTAACAGCTCCAAGTTACGCGCTATTATCGCTGTCGTAGCAGGTCGACACACACACAGTGAAAACGCGGAAACGCATCTCGGACCTACGGAGAATCACGCTAGCGTTTTACGTGCAATCGATTAGATCCTCCTTCGCTTTGTGCGCGCAGCGTCACGTGGAGATACATTCACTGAAAGACCATTTCTCCTCGTGTGCTCATGGTAATCGGGATCGCGAACAGAGAAGGTGCAACAGGATGATCATATCGACGCGTTGGCTCCTCTCCTCCCTCTCTCGTCCATTCTCGTCCGAATCTTTGAAGCCGCCGCACGCTACTACTAACGGGAACAGTTTCAACGCGATGTCATCGTCCGTTGACGACGAGGGTCGTTCCAGATCGGCATTCTAGTGGCGGCGAGGCTACCGCCTTCTTCAAGCTCTCGAGAGCAATCGCTTCCTCACGGGAAAAGCTGCTGCCCGGAGTTCGTTCTTCGTCTACAACAGACCCAATTACGCGCTGATCAGTCCAAGTGACCATGATGAAGTTCAAATCGCTGTTTCGCAGAGGGCAACCGAGCCAGCAGCAGCAACAGTCGACGCAGCAGCAGCAGCTGCAGCCGACATCGCTGCGCCAGGCGCCGAGCGCCTCCTCCCTGGAGGCGAAGAGCGACGTCGCGCCGACTGGAAATAACTGGGCCGGCTCCCTAGGCGGCAAGGAGCCGGCCAGGCCCAACACCGCCAAGGCGCCGGTGGTCGTCCATCAGCCCAAGGGCGGTTCCGCCAAGGCCAGCAGGATGCAGGAGCTGGAGCGCGAGATCGAGGCTCTGCGTAAGGACCGCGCGCGGCTCGAGGTGAACCTCCGCGACGCCGCCTGCGACGCGCAGATCCTGCGTGACCTGCGCGCCGAGCTCGCTACTCTCAAGGTACGCTGTTCTCCGGTAAAACGGGGGGAGGATCTCTGGATCCTGATTCTCTAGCCGAATGCTGAATAATCCTTTTAATTATCCTTTTATTTTAAATCCTTTTTAATTCAATCAAATCGAGACAACGCTGTACGTGTGACGGTCGCGTAAGAGAAACGGTACTTGGGATTATAAAAGGGCTTACTCGGCGTTATGCGTTACGCGTCCAGAATGGGCTGCAGGTTCGTCGAAGATTCGTCGATTTTTGGCCGACGTATATTATTCAGTTGCTCAGCTGTTTCGAAAAACTACACCCCGTTTGAAATTAGCTAAAAAAAATGTTGCTTCGTTATTCGTTTGGCTTTTCTGGGATTAGCTCGCGAGAAGGTCGTCTCTTTCATCGGATTGTAACTCATGCGACATCTGAATATGTCTCTCCACAATTTATTTCGTAGTTTTCCAATTGGTTACATTTTCGATGAAGAGACAACATTTCGATACGGCGGGAACGTGATAGCTAACTTCACCGTTGTATTAAATCGTTATTTCGAGATTCATAAATATTACATACTGATGATATTACCGTGCCGATCGGGGGGGGAGGAGGGGGGTACAGCCCGGGTTCTCCGGATTGTTTGCACACATCGGAGGAATGTCGAATCACACAATAATAATCTCGCTCTCAAGTTATCGTCCGATATCACCGTTACTTAAATCGTTGGACGATAAACGGCTGAAGTTTCGCCCCGACGAGCTAGCTACTCCCGTCCCTCCTCGTATATAGAGGCCGATATAAAGGCCGGCTGATATTAATAAACACAATTTGATATTTGCGATGAAAAGTGTGTCGCCTTCGTCCTTCTCCTCGTTTCGCGCGCGGCCGAGGCCAACTTTAGATCGCGCTATTTCGGATGCGTTTACCTTGATGCGCGCGCGGCCGAGTCGTCCATTTTTAATTCCACGCAGCCGACGAGGCGTACAGTCAGTGTGAGGAAAGAGTTGCGACACTTTCATCTCGATTCAGCCTCAGAACGCATATCCGCTCCGGCCAATGGGAGAAATTCTATCCCGCGGTTACTGGAAAAAAAAAAAAAAAAACGTATCCTCCTATTGGTCAGCGATGCCGTGGCGGAACTCATCGAAAAGAAGGAGCGCGTCGCGACGATCCCCTTCCGTCTCTCGACTGTATGCCGCATAATTGCAAACCGGCGCGGCGGCGGCGGGAATCGCCGTAATATTTCGGCGGTTTCTACGAACGCGTGACGAAATCGTATACCTCGCGTAACCTCCTCGTCCAATGGCTGCGTCGCCTTCGTCCCCGATCGCGCAGCTCCGGCACCAGCATACAGGAAGGAACATGATCTTTCGGGACGACCGTCGGCGTCGGGACCGCTGCATAGTGCAATTGCGCCGACTCCCCGGCGCCTAGAAACGTAACTGACGAGACCGTTAGGGGCGTTAGAGGGAGGCAGGGAGAACGAGGGAGAAGGAGTGGGAGAAGGACGGCGGGCGATGCAAACGGCGTTTCGCGTGCGCGAAAACGGAGCCAGAGGGCGTAGAGCGCGCGGGGATATTTATGTAGGAAAAGAGCCGGGGAAACCGAGAGCGGATCCGATATGAAAAAGCGTTGCTTCTCGTCACTCACGGTAAATTCCGCACCGGGGCTGACCGTCGTGACCGGGGAATCGCGGTCTCTCGCGCCTTCGTCCTTACCCGACGCCGACGCCGTGTCGGCACGTCTGTCGTGTGAATGGCAGCGGGCTCTTTTCGGCTGTCCGTCGTCCGTCGGTAGTTCGTAAATTCTAACCTCGCTCCGTCCGGCCGCCGGACCTCCCTCCCCCTGATCTCTCCTCCTCCCCGTGAGAAGGACAGTTGCGGCGGGATGTTGGCATCCTGTGGCGTCGTTTTTTCGTGATTCGGCGGACTTTCGGCTACCCCCGTGAACGAACGCGCACGTTAATCGTCCTGCATCGTCGCGCGCCTGTGACGTCACGCGCCCCGCTGTCATGTTTGCGCCCGACGCTTTTTTGGAGCAATTTCTCGTACGGAAGTTTCGCCGCTGTCGTTGCGCTGTCTCGCTGCTCCTCTTGTCGCGCGGGAATCGTGAGCTTTTGGGATTGTGATGCGAACCGACATGTTTGAGAATTGTTGGATGCATGCTTCTACTATGAGCATCATTAGATACTGACACTGTTGCAATGACGCTCATATATACTTTTGCTTAGATATGTCGGAATATGTATGCCGTTTTAAATTTAATGCTACGTCTCTCTGTGTTTCTTCGATGTGCAGGGAGATTTAATTATGTGCTTTTGTGGTGGTTTGTAGATTGATGGTTCGCATTGTGTTTGTTGTTTGGATTCGTAGGAGCAGCACAGCCTGGAGCTTGAACGTCTTACAGAAGAGAATGAAACTCTTCGTGCTCGTCTACGAGACGTGGCACATTCTCCACTGTCAGACTCGGAGAAGCAGCAGCTGCTGTTAGACGCCTCCAGGCTGCACAATTCCGCACCAGCCTCCATCGCAATCCCTCAGGATGATGGATCTGCAAACAGCACCAACACACCTCAGGATGGTGCTCAGTGCACCACCCCAGACTGGGACAAGCATTCCTCCAGCTCTGTGTCAGAGGTTTCGGTTGCATGCTTGCAGGACAGAATTTTACAAATGGAAGAGACGCATTATTCCACAAACGAAGAGTTGCAGGCAACTATTCAGGAGTTGAGTGATTTACAGGTTGGTTGTTTTTTATTCTCCTGAGTGCACAAGTGTATATCATCAAGATTGCATCGCGATATATATATACAGTCTCTAACAAATTAATGTCACTCACACAGGCACAATTGACGGAGCTGCAAGCCGAGAATGAAAAACTAACTGAGGAGAAGAGTGTCCTACTGGAGTCATTGTGTCGTCAGACGGAGAAACTGGAAAATTCCCGATCCAAAGTTGATACTTTGCGAGAACTGCTCTTAAGAGAGGAGCAACCTCAGGAGGCGTCCAAGGGTTACAACACAGAAAGGGAACAAAAGCTAGTGGACCTTTTGAAAGTGAGAGAGTGCATGTGAATCTATGTGTAAGAAAAGTACAAGTGACAGTCGCGATCTCTAACTGTTTCCATGTCTGCAGAGTGCACAGGAGGAACGAGAAGCTCTGCTTCAGAAGCAAGAGGAGCTGACCAGCGAACTGAAAAGTCTGAGGGTGACCGCTGACACGAGCGCCGCAGAGACCGAACGTCTGAAGAAATGCGTGGAGGCACTGGAGTCAACGGTGGACACGGTGAACATTGAACGGAAGCAGCTGGACTTGGAGCTGGCCGAGGCCAGGCAGGAGGGCGCGAACCGCGGTATAGAGATCAGCAGGCTGGCGACCCTGCTGGAAAATGCGCGAGCGAAGATTGAGGAGCTGGAACAGTCGAGGCAACTGGAAAACAAGAGCGAGGCGGACGAATTGCTGGACGCGGCCAGGCGAGAAAAGGACACGCTGGAAACGCAGGCGGCGGCACTGCAAGAACAGCTGGCGCGCTCGCACTGTGACCACGATCGGCTGAGAGACCAGTACTCGCAGCTTCAGGAAGAGTATAAGGTACCGTATGCGTCTTACCTGTGCACCGAGAGGCTTCAATGAAACCTTGAAATTTGCGCTCTCCTTTATATCTCACACGCGAATGTGAAATCCCAGGTAGCGCGAAACAACGCAAAGTCCGCGATAGACGACTTGGAGTACAGACTGAATCAGCTGAAGGACGAGCGGCTATCCGTGAGCACGGAGCTCCAACTTGTTCGAGACTCCCTGGCGGAGTTGCAGGCGCAGTGTCAACGGCATTTGGAGGACAAGAGGGAGCTGAAAACCGCGCTGAGCGAGGCGCAGACGCGCCAATACGATCTGGAGCGCGCGTTAGCCGATGAACGCAAGCTGAGGCGCGACGAGATCACGGAATGGGAGCAGTTCCAGACCGATCTCCTGATGACTGTGCGAGTGGCCAACGACTTCAAGACCGAGGCGCAGAGCGAGCTGGAGCGCGTGGTCATGGAAAACAAGGCGCAGAGGGACAAGCTGAGGGCACTTGAGGCGCAGCTTGATAAGCTGAACAAAGGTAAACGAATGGCAATCACTGCTTTGAAGTAGTGATTGTTATGTGATAGTATATTGTGGTGACAAAGAACAAAGTCCTTTTGCGATCACGAAGATCTATAGAGAAGCTGCTGCGCGAATGTCGCTGGAAAACAGCACGCAATGTTGCATATAATATACTAACATACGATATTCTTCTTGAATGCACAGGAAAGAGGAATATTTCGTAACGAAAGCAAGCGGGAGTGAAAGAGAGCGCGCAAGAGTGTATGTGTGTGTGTGTGTATGTGTGTGTCTGTGTGAGAGAGAGATTTGTGAAAAATTACTCTCTGTCTTCTTTCTATTGGTATATTTTCCATTAGCGTAATTGTCGAAACTCTATTAATTTCGTAATTCTTGATATTTTCTCCGATCGAATTGCGTACTAGATAGCACTGCACTGAGTTGCTGCAAGGTACCACTCGATACCTTTAGCGGAAGTAAGCGGAAAACTAAGGCGAGCACTATACTAAAGCGTGGTCGAACGATAATAAAAAGGCGTTACGATCCGAGAAAGCATGCGTTGCTGCATGATTTGGTCAGAGCGACCACTACTACAACGACGACACCGACAAGCAGCCAAGATCTACACCCAACCAAGTCTTCGGACGTCGTGACCGTACCTCCGGTTCAAAACGGAGATTTCTCATCGGCGGACGACGTGCCGACGCTCAAGGGCGCTATCAAGCTGGAGGACAAACTGATTTCCGGCGAGGAGATCGAAATCTATCCCAATTTTCACGTCGACAGTCGGCGGAGCACCGAGTGCGTTCCGAAGAGCACGGACGTTCACTTGGCGAGCGGGAGTTCAAAACCACGGAAGATCCCGAAGAACGAATCTTCCAAATCCTGCTCGAGATCTGATAAATTGACATACACTCCGAGCGATCAGTCTCCGATAATGGCGGACGACTACCCGAAACTCTATATCACCGTCGCGAACACGTCGGACAAGAAAACGATGGCCAAGAACTCGTTGCTGAGGAGTATTCGCGGTATTCAGAGCTCCGACGGGGAATCGTACGGTATCAACATTTCGAACAGCCGTTTCTTCGTCCCGAAGAATTACATCTTCTCCGGCGTGGAGTGCTCGATGAACGACCTGAAGTTTGAAGTCGACCCGGAGATGGGGAAACTATTGCAGAGGAGCTACAGCAACCCGCAGATCAGCACGGATTCGCCTACCCTGGTTCACCTAGAGACGGATCGCGCGTCCTCGAGTGCCGCAACTGCGGTAGGACCAGTGGAAACTCGAACGTTTGATGAAACCACGTTGAACAGTGTGTCGAGGCAATGCGAAGACCCGAAATGTCCAAGGGCTAACTCGGACACGGCGCTCGCAGAGCTGAAGTCGCGAGGGAATGAGACGGCCGAGCGAAAGCAGAGGCTGTTCTTGAAGAAGCGCGACTCGAAACCGAGTTGCGAGATTGTCGACTCTCTATTGGACGAAACAATTCCCAGACCCAAGGTGTCCGTTGCGTCTTTGGCTACAAGTCGTACGAGCAGATTGCCAGATCAGCTTCATGACCGCGACAACATACAAAATAGCGAAGAACAAGATGAAACGAGCGAGATGAAACATACGAGTCGTAGACTTGTTCCTACATCGGAAACGCCTCAGGATCTTGCTAACGAGGCAGCGAAGGGCAAAACGCCGCAAGACCATCAGCTGTGGACAGCCAAGCATGTGGTGATCGATGATTGCGAGATTGAAAACAAACCTGCGCCTGATGCAACGATGATACTCAACGATAAGAAGATTCTCGGTACACCAGAAGATTCGGAGAAATCCCACTCGTCTGATAAAAGTATCGAGTGCGAAAACAAAGCACCGATGCTCAAGAGAAGCGTAAATACCGAACTCAATGACGTAAGAAGGACTCCTTATGATCGTCTAGATGCTCCTTCGACGAGACAGAACGAGGAGAAGCAGGACAGGTCATCTTGGACGAGTCAAGAGCGGCGACAGAAGTTTAAGTATTCGAATTTGGGCGAGACGAATCGAGCGGACCGCATAAAGTTCCTGCGAGATAGTCTACGGAGCGGGGCGAGCGAGCGCGATTATCCCAGCGGCGATGCTGACGTCGGGAAGACGAATTTTCCTGGAAATAAACCCGACGATATGACAGTTGAAGAGACCAAGGCAGCGCGAAGTCTCGTGGATCCCTCGAGATCGTTCGACAAGGATCAAGACTCGGCGTTCGGACGCACGTCATCCTTGAGAGAAAAGTATGAGACAATCGTGGAGGATGTGGAATTGAGGACGACGCCGGGACGGCGCTCACATGTAGCCATATCTTGCGGCCGTAAGTCGCTCGCACATCTTAGCGTGTTGTGGGAACCGCGACCGCTTCAAGTACATCGCTCAAAGCGTCCCAGCCACCTTGTCCGTCCCGGTAAACAGTGCGAGGCACCGCGTGTGCCCTGCGCGTCGCTAGCATCATCTACATTATCGTGTCGCCCATGTTGTCCCCTGGTCATAATTGTCGCCCGGCTTACTCTGTTTGTTTCTCGACTTGTCGACTTGGTATCTCTCACGATATTTATACATATGTATATAAATATGTACTCTGGCTTTGTGTCTCCCTCATCGATCACCGCGCACCCCCATCTGAATGAGTCTGTATGAAAGAGAGAGAGAGAGAGAGAGAGAGAGAGAGAAAGAGCGTGTATGGCTCTCTGTCGTAAATTGGGAACACCATATCTTCAAACAATCATGGCTCGAGTACTTCTTCTCTAGCGATCAATTAACTGTGCTTTATTCTACGTACGAAGTACGGCTTGTCGCTTCTCTGTTACGTTGGGACTTCACCGTGGGGATTTATTCTGCAAGTGTACGAATAAACGGACGACTTTCAGCTAACCAGAAAACCGTCATACAACAACCGCCGCCGAGACCGGCTAGCACACCCACGGAGACCCAGCAGTCCGTGCTGACGAGCGTGCAGCAGGAAATGGCCGCTCGCAGGAAGGCGAACATTTCGCGGCAGGACTCGAGGCTTTCTGTGAAGTGTCTCATCGAGAGCATCGAGAACGCTACGAAGCAAGCCAAAGCTGGTAAGTAAGACTGTCCCATAGAATCTCGAGTTTGTAAAGTATAGTCTCTCCGTGGCTGATTGAAGGCCTTGGATCTTGGAAGCGTGGAAACAATTATTGACACGTGAAAATTCCACGATGAAGAGCCTAACCTTCCTTTCATCCTTTAGGACCTGGAAGCCGTAGCAGCTCTACGTCATCCTTAAATTCGATCGGAACCAATGATATCATGACCCTGAAGGCGCCGCTCAGAGATCAGCAGCAGATCAATAATCTAATCTGCACGGCGAACTCGACGAACAACAACAAAACGCAGTCCACAATTGCGAGGAAATCGGCATCAGGTAATTTGCACGATTTAGAAGCGAAGCAAATTTTGCAATTGCACGATAACTCACATACACACACACACACACATAATGGCTCACATGACAGAGACGAAAGCAACGCCGGTGGTCCTGAGCCCGGGCGAGCTGTTGGACTCGGCCGCGCTGAACGCCAAGGCGATCGACTTTGTCCGTCGAAACAGCGTGACCGACCTCTCGGAACGCAAGGACCCGCTGTGCGGCTTAGTGAAGAACGGGGGCTCCAAGCGCAACGCCTTGCTCAAATGGTGTCAGAACAAGACGATAGGTTACCGGAACATCGACATAACAAACTTCAGCAGCTCGTGGAACGACGGCTTAGCGCTGTGCGCGATCTTGCACTCCTATCTGCCGCGCAAGGTGCCGTACGATACTTTGACGCCGGTCGAAAAGCGACGGAACTTCTCAATAGCCTTCTCCGCTGCCGAGAGCGTCGGCATACCGACAACTCTGGTAAGTCAAACTCCACTGCTCCCATCGACATCGTCATTTCTGAATATTATTTTCGACACTTTATTCGTAAAGTTCTGGGGTGGAATCCCCTTGGGTGTAATTGCGTTTTATCCGCACGTTGAGTGGTCACCGGTGACCAACACCATGATGTCTTATCAGATTATGTATAGGATACAATAAATTGCATTTGAGGAATTGATTGCACGGCCAATAGGAAGCCGATGGAACGAGGTAAAAGACACACGCATTTCAGATTATATTTCTTTTGCCTTATCTTTAGCAATTTGACCGTCAGTTGGGCTTTTGTGCAACGAACAGAAATGAGCGGTCGTATTTACGAGGGAATAGTCCCTTTCGTATTGCAAAGTACAGAGCAACAGTAGACCTTATGATACTTCAAGCAACTTCGACATAATGTCAGAATTAATGCAGTCGTCGGTTGAACTAATACTAAGGAATACCTATGACTTACTTAAGAGTCTACTGCGCGAGCAATCGACGTGCGTGAGAAACAAAATATTTCTCTCCGCAGAATATAGGCGAGATGTGTCAGCTCGAGCGACCTGATTGGCAACAAGTCATGACGTACGTGACCAGCATCTACAAGCACTTCGAGACGTAACTGATGACATCGTCCGAGCATATCCGAGCCTAGTGTCAGGCACGTCCTACGTATAATATATTCTCTGAACGCCTCCTGGAGTCGCGAGAGGCGAAGAGCGAAGGAAGAACAACAACATCTAGTCAACTAAATTCAATAAGATGAGAAAGGAAAAACGGCAGAGAGAGAAGGAAGGAAGGAAGGAAGGGGGAGGAAGTGTACGCAGCAGAGAAAACGTCCGGAGATTTCTCGGGGATCGCTGAATCCGCACTGCCTACTATTTACTAATCGTACTGCCTTGTATACGCGCTGTATATATATAATTTTGAATCTTGAAAATCTATGGCTGCTGGAGTGTATACAGGAAGAGTAAGAGAGACCGAACTCGACGGAAGACTAAACACCAAATGGAATTGCTGTTACTATGAGACTGAAAAAAACTTATATACATACATACATAAAATACATACGTATATAGATACATGCATCGCGCGCACGCTTCGTAGCGGTACACACGTGCAGTGGAATCATTGATGAATTTCGGGAGAGCAGGCTTTTTCCGTGTTTCACGAGAACCACAGACAACAAAGGAGGTGGAAATAACAAGGCAACAGGTTACGCGAATAGTTTTCACGCAGAACGAGAATAGCTGTGCGTTTTTGAGCAGTGACACATACACAGAATATATATATATATACACATACGTACACACACACACACACACACACATACACACATATACCACCGCCTCTGCATCGTAGCATATTCACATTGCACGTTTTGCAAAGAATCGAGTGTTTGCGTTCCTCGTACCGTGAGTATTTTTGTACGTGTATTATTTTTCGAGAAACTTTTTTGTAAAGTTCGCAAAAAAGAGAGTGTACAGAACGAAGCGCCTTATAATTTAAGATATCTAATTTATTGCAATTAGTCGTATTTTAGCCGCTCTTATCGAATGGAGAGGACCGCTCGCCCCCTCGCCCTTGAAAAGAGAGGAAGAAGGAGAAGGGGAGGAGGATCATTTTGCGTTTCATACTTTGTACGCCGATAAGGAGAGGAGCAAGGAAATTTACGTCGCGCGAAGATTAAGTTCTCTGTGATATAGCGAGATAGCCCCGAAACAGAGATACAGATATTGTCGTTATCGCTAATTACTATAATTGTACTCTATTACCGCTATAATATACTATCGTCTTCATCGTCCTCATTGTTGTACTATCGTGTAGACAACAAACGGACACGCTGTCTGATGTGAAACAAATAAACTTGCCTAACTGGATATCTCAGATCTCGTTGACTCGGATCGAGTCAAGTTCTATCGCGCTATATCGAACAATCGTCCAACCATGTTGACTGTCAAGGGGCTTCACGATGGTTGTTGCGATATATTACTGAAATAATCTGAATTTCCGTAGAGAACATAGAGTCAATAGGGATTCCATGAAACGAGTTAAATATATGAGTGATGAATTGTGTGCTTTTCTTTTTTTGCCTTTGACGATTCAGACTCTCGAGTCGAGTCTTGGGGCGATCGAGGAACATTATCGTAGCAATCGATGCGTTGTTGATCAGATGAAACGGAGGCTTCTTAGCCTCGTCAGGTAGAAGTCACCTAAACTAAACCCGAAGTCACACACGGTGCGAGTAAAAAAGTGTATGCTTTATTATCGCTAGAAACCGGATCCGCTTGTATGTACATCTTATATTTACAGGTGTGTGTTGCGTTTAACGGCTGATCGCGTGAAATAACGGTCGTCGATCAGACAGCATCGTCTTATCTGATACACGGATGCGAGAAACTGCTCGGAAGCTGCTCGCTCCCGAGACTGTTAGTCGGATGATTAACGTAAAACCTAAGCCGCTCGGGAAAGATCGCGTCCAACGGTGGTTGCGGTCTCTGAAGAGCCGACAGTAGTGCTCAGATTCCCGTCATCACGTATCGTTCGTGTCCATCTTGTCCTGATCCTTGTCGCCGGCGTAGTACTCGTTCGCTGGCTCGACGATCTTGTCCGTGTCCTGTACGTTCTGCCGAGAGTCCGGGTCCGGCTCCGGCTGGCGCTCCTCCTCGGGCGGCAGCGCGTCGCACGGTACGTCCTGCATCTGCACACTGGGCGAGTGTTGGATCATCTTGAGATTGTCGCACACATGCCGCGTGATCGCCTCGAGGTACTGCTTAGAATTGGCGTTGTCCTGCCTGGTAACGACCTCCGGGTGCAGGGTGAAGTCCGGCGCGAAGTACTCCAAGTACTCCGTGTACGGCAGCTCGTTGCTGATCTGCTCATCGACGAGCAGCGAGGTCTCGTAGGTCCAGCAACGAGCAACGTTGCGCAGAGTGTAACCGCCACCGCCGACGGTCAGCAACGGCACGTTCAAGTCTCTGACGAACTTGACGCAGTCGCCATGGCCCTTGGTGCTGAGGCTGAAACAGCCGAGCCGGTCGTTGGCGAGGGAGTCGGCACCGCACTGCAGCACGATCGCCGTCGGCTGAAAGAACTCCATGACGTGCGAGATGACGGGCTTGAAGACCTGGACGTACGACGGGTCGTCAATGCCTTCCTTCAACGGTACGTTCACAGAGTAATATCTACCGCTCTCGGCGCCGATCTCGTACATGTCGCCGGTCCCGGGGAAGAAGAAGTTGCCGTACTTGTGAAAGGACACAGTCATCACCCGGTCGGTGAGGTAGAATGCCTCCTGCACACCGTCGCCGTGGTGCACGTCTATGTCGATGTACAGCACACGGGCGTGGTATTTAAGCAACTCCAGGATGGCGATCACGATGTCGTTGATGTAGCAGAAACCGGACGCCTCGAACTTCTTGGCGTGATGCAGACCGCCGCTCCAGTTGATGGCGATGTCGCAGCAGTTGTTGTTCAGCTTGGTGGCGCCTTCCAGGGACGCGCCGGTGTACATGGAGCAGAAGTCGAACAGACCCTCGAACACCGGACAGTCGTCCCCCACGTTGAAGTGGCTGAGGTACTTAGTATAGCCCTGCAGATTCTGCGGCGTCACCCGCTGCAGGAACTCTACGTACTCTTCAGAGTGAAAGCGACACATGTCATGGGTGCTGGCGCGGTACGGACGGTAGATCTGCATCTTCTTGTGCAGGCCATAGTTGAGCACGAGGCTGTGAATCACGGACAATCGGTGGGGCTTCATCGGGTGACCCGGGCCGTAGTGGAAGTTACCCACGTCCGGGTTGTAGAAGTACGACACCTTCTTGTTGTAGCCCATGTTTGAGGTTAGCCGAGCGACAGGAAGCTTCGTTTCGTCTTCGACAGGACGCGCGTCGAGGTTAGACGCCTTTGTTTTTCGAGGCGAATAGGAGCGGGAATCTCATATTTACCCGTCGAGACGAGATTGCATGCCGTAAAACGTGGGACGCACCGAACGATATAAATTGCGCGCGATTGCCCGTTGATTGTTGTTGTTGTTGCGCAAATTATTCGACGGCTCGTGTCTCTCGTGCAACCACGACTCTGTCACTTCGTTGGTTACTCCTTCTTTCTTTCACAACAACGGTCCCCCTATTGGTCATGGTTTCGAGGTGTAGAACTATCGATATTCTATTCCATCGATAGTTATCGATAGCTTTCGATAGTTGACTTTTAGAAGGAATTTTAATGAAACAGGATTGCACTCACACATTTTTACTTGGTTTCCTCTTCGAATTATTCTCAAATCAATCAAATAAAATTATGAAGATACATAGATTACGAGAGAAGACGTCTATATATAAAATCGAAGAATCAGCTTCAAGATTATGAAAATTCAACGGGCTGTGAATGAAGATTTAGAAGGAATCGATCGTAACGTGGAACTTTCTTTTTATTCGCAATAAATGCAGCAATTTCATTCGGTAGAGGTCAATTTAATGTAAGACGAGTTGTTAGTTTTATGTAATGTGGCTTACAATTTTTATTTACAACTGTAAATAATCGAAACTTGTTCCGCCGCGACGAAACGAGGACGCGCAACATACGTTAAGTTCGAGCCGTACGTGCGACGTTGATACGTAGACTAGATCGAGACTACGACAAGGTCGATCAGTGCCGCGTTTTTTCGTCGCATTTAACGCAGAGAATGTGTACAATATGCTCGGCTGCGTGATGATGTTCTCCGTAAGCATTCAGCAGCGGCCGCATTAAACCTAGACGCGTGATGAGAATACGGATTAACGAGTGTAACGATTTGCCGGTCCTGCCTGGAAACTCTAAAAGTTGATGGGTTTTCCAGCGTAGGCTGACAAATGTGCTTCCCTAAGTGCCTCGGCGCATGTCTGAAGAAGAAGGAGAAAGTGTGTATTTTATATAAGCATAACACAATTGACATTAACGTAACACAATTGGCGTTAATTATATCACTTGTTATATCAACGCTAATGCGTAAGTGACCAAAATACGTACCGGATGCGCGTGGCATACACGCGCGACGTCTTCCGCGCTGGCACCATATTCCATCGCGAGAACCGCCTCGTTGATGAGCTCGCCGGCAGCCGGTCCGATCATGTGAACTCCCAGAATTTTATCCGTGTTGCTGTCGGCGAGCACCTTGGCGAAACCGTCCGTTTCTAGATTCGTCTTCGCCCGGGAGTTCGCCATGAACGGAAATTTGCCGACCTTGAAGTCGATTCCCTCCTTTTTTAGATCTTCCTCCGTCTTGCCGACCCAACCCACCTCAGGGTGCGTGTATATCACACTGGGCACGCAGTTGTAGTCTATATGAACCGCTCCTGCGTCGCGAATTAAAGTGACAACAAGCGGTTAAAATCAGTCAAAACGAGGGAAATGAAAGCAGAAGAAAGAGAGAAAGAGAGAACAGCAAAAGTCTGTCTTGACACGCCTAAGCCTTAATATTCACCAGAAGAAATTAACATGTGAATGGAAGTTACCTCCAGCAATACCCTCCACGGTAATTATGCCCTCATCTTCGGCCTTATGAGCTAACATTGGACCGTGAATGCAGTCCCCGATGGCATAAATACTGTAAATAAAAATACGACGAAAATAGTCATTCAGGGATCATTGTATCGAGCTACAAGTGACAGAGCACAGTGGAAGAAATAGACGATTAATGACGGATGTGATTCAGAGTATTCACCTAGGTACTACTGTCTGGAACCGATTGTTGACAGGTATTCTACCTTTCTCGTCCCTCTCGATGCCCATATCCTCCAGACCCAAGTTGTTCGTGAAGGGTCTTCTGCCGACGCACACCAGCAATACATCGCACACAATGTCCTCCTTCTTGCTGGGGTCTTTCGCGTCCTCGACGGACACCACGATCTCGTTTCCCTGTTTGGAAGCGCTTGTGACCTTCGTGCCCAGCTTGAACTTCAGACCCTGTTTGGCGAGGATCTTCTGCATGGTTTTGCTGACTTCCCCGTCGATGCCCATGCCGCCGATCGTTGGCATGAACTCCACCGCTGTCACGTCGGAGCCGAGCCTGAGTGAAAAGTGAAGATTATTGAAAGCACGTCAACGATTCGCTGCGGATTGGGGAGTGATCGAATCGTGAGGCAAACCTTTGCCAGACCGAGCCCAATTCCAAGCCGATGACACCAGCTCCAATGACAATGAGCCTCTTGGGGACTTCGCTCAGTGACAGAGCACCTGTTGACGATACAACTTGCATCTCGTCGATCTCGATGCCGGGGAAAGGAGTGACTTCGCTACCGGTTGCGATCAGAATGTTTTTGGTATTGATGGTCGATTCCACTGATCCATCGGACTTTAAGGCGGTCACTTGATTCTTGCCGGTAATTTTGCCGTGACCCTTTACCCACTCTACCTTATTTTTCTTAAAGAGACCAGCTATTCCACCAGTCAAGGCTTTAACTACGTTTGTTTTTTGCTCCATCAACTTGGCGAGGTCGAGCTGAACATTAGATACTGCAAAGTGTCCCAGATACTTAGTACTGTACATTTTTGCATAAATAAAGTATCTGGTTTAATTGCTTACCAACAACACCACGGTTCTGCAGATCACCACTGTGCGCCATGTGATAGTAATGTGAATTATTTAAAAGTGACTTTGATGGAATACATCCAACATTAAGACATGTGCCGCCTAGAGTAGGATTTTTCTCCACACAGACTGTTTTCATACCCAACTGCGCTCCTTTGATTGCAGCTACATAGCCACCAGGACCAGATCCGATCACTACCAAGTCTGCATCCAATGTGCTGGCATACCTGCGTTGCTGGGTAGCCGTCATACCAGGAAGGACACGCTTTATGCATGTTGGCTGAAAACAGAAGAGAACAATAAATTAATAATATTCTCCGATGTACATCATTGATCACATTTGTAAAATACAACGAATTATCGATCAGCTTTTGAAGGACAAGTCCACCTTCTATCTTCAGATAGAAGTATCATGGACACAGTGTTAACTAACACATACGAAGCAATGACATAACCAATTTATGGAGCTATCTTTGAGCCATGACACAACCTGAAGAGTCTCCGACAAATTTTCGGAATACAAAGAATGATTCTGGCGATTAAAATGAACGGTAACTGCGGTGTTTCTCTACACTGTACACGAAGAAAACCGTACAAGTTGATACGTCTCAACAATGTTACGAAAGAGATCACTGAATGATGGATTACTCGCACGCGACCTCGCCAACGGACACGACAATCGCGGCGATTATCGTTCCTCGTCGAATAACTGTTCTTCCGACTTACTCTGATGGTGCTGCTAACTAAATTCCAAAAGCCGGCTTGCATCATATTTTTCAACGTTTACCACAGGTCCCGGGACCGAAGGGACAGAAGAGGAAAAGGTCTGTGGCAATATGGGGGCAGTGAACGTACAGACTCAACCGGTATTATCGCGATCCACCACGGAATCGAACGTTCTTTCAATTCGATTTAGTTTCACAATCGCGGCGCGAGATGGTGTTGGTAGTCCACTTTGACGACTCGTCATCGTCACTCGCGGCTGCGTTCCGATACTCACTTTGCGCGCACCGAAATTCTGTGGTTCGTGTTAGTGTTGCAAGTTTTCGCTACCGGCAGTGAACGTCGAAACGCAACCCCCGACAGCCTCCAACGGCTCTTTATGCAAGCAACAATGGAGGTGAATAGAGCAAATCGGCAGAGATGTCCCACTGACGTAAGCGTTTCATACTGGACTTTCCTTTTTCAACATAACGCCACGAGAGCAGATAACACAATCACACGTCCTAAGATCGTCCCGAATGCATTTAGGATATCCGGGCTACGTCCAAGAATATTCTGGATCGGGGAGGGAGGTGGTCCGGATGATACCAGAACATCTTGCGCCAACCAGGAAAGATTCGAAGAAGAAGTCATTGAAGTTCGGAATAGCGAGATATGTCGAGTAGGTAAGGTTTGAAAATTAACGGCAATCGAAACAGTATCAGTCCATTATGGCTGCGATTTCTCACCAAGTATGTGGTATGTGGGGCGAGGGGATGTGCGTATTTGTGCAAGTCAGACATGTCGCCGAACGAGATCGAAGTCGAAAAGGAAAGATGACCTCAGGCTGATTAATAGAACCGCGAGGCGCGTTGAGGAATTTTTCTCTCGACGAGAGTCGCGGCGTGCCTTTATTTCGCCTCCTCCCGCCGTGATTCACGACCAACCTGGTGAGTCTCCTTTTTCTCTTCCTCCCGCGAAGTTCGGAATAACCTCGAAGTTCCCAACTCGCTCTCCGTCTCGAACATGTGTCATATTACTTCCCCGGAAACTGAATCGTCGCGGGTTTGTCGAGATTCGAACAAATTCAGGTAACCTGTCGTTCATATCACGCTAGAAAAATTCTCGGCACATCCGAGACGCCGAGACATATAATACAGCGTCTCGCTGCTAAAAAAATGTCTCCACACCGAAGTGCGAAGACACCCTATGCTACTTCTCCCCCTGCATCCCACCCCCTGTACACGTTGTACGTGTGCGTGCTCGGCTTGCGAGCGTAACGATCGCGGGCGGAAAGGAGGGGGAAAGGGTCTCGCTCGGAGGGTTGGTCGTCTGGGCGTCCAGGACAGTAGAGTCCTTCCGCATGACGCACGGGGTGGTTGGGCGCGTCTCTCGCAGGATATTCTCAATGGTGGTGCCTGGATGCACGTCGCGTAGTGACTCGCCTCTCTTTGTCTGTGCGAAAGGATCGGAAGGACAGCCGCGGCCTGAGCAGGTATATGCCTTCGATATTTTCGGGTGATTCTCGAGAGCGCGCCTCATGCCGAATTTCACTCGGCGATCACTCGACCACTCTCCATGGTCGATCCATGTCGGAAGCAAGGAAATTTATACGGTTAAAAATTCCTATGGATTAAATGCGCAATGGAATTCTTCGCGAAATACCTTGAATTGAAGATATACCCATAAAATGGTAACTTGTCAAATTACCACAAGATTAAGACGTGACATCTATCTGCTTTTTAATTCTGCCATTTCTCGTGATCTTGATGTTAATTTCTCGCGTATTTGTCGATCGGCAAGAGGGAACTTTTCGGGGCATTTTATCCAGATAACACACAGATCACACACAAAATGTGTCCCGAGAAATGTTCTTGGACACCCTGATCGTACCTACCTAGAATGACCTCAAGACGTTCTGTGTTACTTGGGTAGAAATTGGCTCGATCGATTTTTAGTCTGAATTCTTTTACTTCTGACGTCATCGTTCAAGATGGCCGCGGCGGGGAGACGGAAGCCTCTATCACAGAAGCGGCACGATGTCTCTCGTCGACGCGATCGCCTGATGGAAATTAGATATAATCATCGCGCTCCCTATTCTCGAAGTGTCTCGCCGATGAGTGACTCGCGATATCGCGGTTAATTTCACGCCGAACCGCAGCAGCGAACGCTCGATTTGGATTTGTGTCGCGCGAACGACGAACGAGTCTAACTAAAGTGTCGGCGGCTACCTTACACCGTGCGAAATCGAATCTGGCGATTGTGAGACGTGGTCTGTGTCGAAATTCATATGTAGCTTGGGTTCCCCTTACGTCCAACTTGTGGTTTAGGTTATATACAGGCTAATATTCCGTGTGAATTGTAGAACGCATCCGTCTTGCTCGATGAGAATTCGCCCGCTGGGGAACAAATTCTCCCGCTTTTATTAGTCGCGATAATAGACACATATATCTTGTATTACTTTGTAATCAGTAAAATGAATATTAGGGATTATAAAGCGATAAAATTTTATTCGTCGTTTTATTAAAATGTGCTTTTATACTTTAGACTTAAGGTCCTTTTCATCGCGGTTATGTATAATCGAATCGTTCTTTCCAGGTTCGTCCGAAGAATGTTCGCACTATGAGACTGTACACCCCTCGCGAGGCTTGCCGTCGACGAGGAGCACTCCATCTCGGTGATTCTCGTTAGCACAATGTGCGAGCTGTCGAAGGGCCAGCGGCGGGCGTTCCGCGACCAGGATCCCCCGCGAATATGCAACAAGAGCACGGAGAACCTGCTGCGGGACGAGCTGGAGTTCTCGCGCTCCACCCCGAGCTCGCCGACGACTCTCCAGCGCGCCGTCAGCCTCGAGAAGTGTTTCAGCGAGCCGGAGTTCTTCCAAAAGCAGCGCGAGCTGCTCTCGAAGCACGAGCAGCGCGCGAAGGAGAAGAAGAGCGGCGAGGAGAGCGTCTCTTCCAGTCCCGCACGTGGCGCTCGTGACAATCTTTGGAAGGACGGAGGCCCCGCGGTTGTCGCGAGGAGCACCGAGAACCTTCTGAGGGAACTCTCCGCCAAAGTGCCTTCCCCTCGCGAAGGTGTAAACGAGGTATGTGGAAATAATGAAACATTGTCTCAGGAAGTTCGGTTCGATTTTTCAGTGAAGATTATTGACCTTGTCGAATTTAACGGTAGAGAATTACTTATTAATCAGTAATATATTCATCATGTTATAATATTTATCATCCTTGGTCATTATTTTCGTCAATTCTGGTGGCATCTTCATTGCGGATGACGGATTTCTGTTACTTTGTCTAAGCAATCACTTGGTAAATTCGACTTGGTTTTGTACGCTTGTCATAATTTTAGTATCTTGTGATAATTACTTGATGCTGGCCGGTTGCGCCGTTAAAGAGGACGAAAAATTGAACCGGACTTGTCGATCGACCTCGATACTCTCATTTGTTGAACGGAACGGAAAGGATCGTCGTGTGCGATGGTTCGCTTTGCCACGTTGTTGACGTTTGACATTTTCTAGCGGTCAGGATCTTCCCGTTAGTAACAACAGGTCACCCTAGTGACTCAGAAAGCGACGTAGAACATCGATTGATCTCGGTGTCCTTCCGCGAATTTCTTAATTTATTTATCGACGCCGACGCGAATATGGGTTAAATGATTCGAGACAAGTTAAATATATTCGTTCAAGGATATATGCGCACGCGAAGGTATTTATAAACTGTTTCGCATCGCTATAAAAGGGCTTGGCCTTTTTTTCTGACGAGCGCCAGACGTTGGAATTAGCGACAGAAAGAAGCGAGATATGGACTCGGCGCGTACGATAGAGCGCACTGCGTAGCCGGCGTGAAATTTCGTTTCTTTATTCATGCTAATGGTATTTCATATGCGTAGCGATAAGGTTGCATAAATAGTCTCGAAAGCGGCTCTTATGCTATTTGATACGCACATGTCCGCCGATATCCTTGAGAAGCTTAAGAAACTCGGTACCGCTGCCGTTTTATGCCTCGTTCACTTTCTTACAGACACGCGTTATTTTTACGCGTTATCGTCTACGCGGCTCGATTCGTCCAGTTTTAGCAAGTGGATACGTGTCCTTCACCGATCGCTTAGCGTCGTGTAGAAGTTTGATGAAATTATACTTTATGAAATCAGATAGCACAGTAATAACGGTCGTAACGATGTCGAGCGTTTCGTCGGTGACTTGGCTGCTTTTGAAAGTAGGCCAGCTTGGGCGCGCGCGGATTTACTTCTAATTAGCATAAAGTTGTCGGCAGAAAATCGCCCATATTTTTCCGCGTTTTAGTCTCATTTGGCAATCACGACGGAAAGATAATTTGATAGCTCGATGTGACAAATCGACGAACCGATAGTTGAAAAAGGATAAGTCGTCTTCCAACGTCTTTTCCTCGAACATTACACGGGACATATCTCGCGGAATTGCCGCGTTTCGTCCTCGAAAAAATCAAAACCGGTCAAATCCCGGCGCGCTCCTCTTCCTTCGACATGAGCAACTTTGTCCATCAAGGATATCTCGTCGAAGCAATTGCTTCGAAGCGCGCTCGAAGATCACAGGCAATTTTCCGCTCCCGGTCGCTGCCCCGCGCTGCATTTTCCTACCTGAGTTTCGCTCGGGGAAGAAGCGAGGGGGGGGGACGCGTGAGACCCGACGGATGACAGATGCATCGTTTCTGAGATTCCCCGGCCTGTCGTATTAGCGGCGGCAGGTGAGAGGTGGCCGCACGACCTGCCGGGCCCCGAAACGAATTAAGCTCGGGCCTGCGGGAGGATGCGGGCCCCGCGGCGGGTTCTTTTCTCCAGCGGGATACCTACCTTCCGAGCGAGGAATTCGCGCGGCTTAAGCGGCGCTCACAACGCCGCGCCGCGCGCATCTCGCGCAAGATCGTCTCTCTTCCGCGGTAGCTACTCGCCAGAAACTTTCCACGCTCTTTTCCCGTGCGCGCGCGCGCGCGCGCCTGTAATCGTTAACGTTTCTTCACGTCGCGTTTCATGTACCTTTGCCTGCTCGCTCGCTTGCGCTAAAAATAACACACTTTCGAGATAATGAAGTCCGATGCGATAAATGTCCGCCGTCGCTGCTGGCCGGTCGCTAATTGCCGAACGATAAATTGCCGGTAAAGATAAACAGCGTCGGATTTTTGCGGTTCCTCCGATAAAAGAACTGAGCTCGGTGGAAACTAGTTTTCGGTCAGCGAGACGCGACGTGTTTGTCTTTTCCTCCGCTCGGGTTCGCTCGGGCGAGCGAGCGAACGAGCGCGGAATGCGAAACGCAGCTCCGCGAAAAAATGCGGCTGCGCGAGCGCGCATTGCGATTGCGTTATTATTGCCGGCGTGGTTTTCCGCGATGTCGTAAGGGAGATCGAGGCGCGTGCTCGCGCGTGCGAGCGCGGCGGATCGAGATTTAGCTGGAAATTTGCTCGAAATACATCGGTTACGGAATAGCACGTAGCGCACCGAGAGGCGGGTCGTCGACCGGCAGCAGCGGCGCTTACGATATCGACGGGAAAGCCGCTATTTCGGGGAACGATTAATCGCAGTCGGCAGCCAGTGGAGGACTCGCGAAACCGATAAATTCCCAATCGCTCCTGCGCGAGACGTCTGTCACCGCGCGTCAAGGTTGCTCGCTGATCGAATTAATTCAACCGACCGGCGGGATGGAAAAAAAAGCGCATATTCCGCAGCTCATCGAGACACGGACCAATCGACCGCACTGACTGCACTAAAACACAATTGTTCAGCGTTATTGCGAGTGTAATGGTGAAGCGAGACATTTGGTCGGCGTTATTGCACTATATGGCGGCATTCATAGCCGAGTCTTGCATTCGGGGTTATTTTCATTGTTTCAAGTTTATCTTGAGATACCGTAGGGACCGTTTCATTTTAGCTGCACGATTTCAGCTGGAGATGAACTCGAGAGGACTGCGAGTATAAGATGTCTGTCTGATGAACACCGGCTGTAGCGATAATTAATTTGTAGCTTGTGGTAAAAGTTTCACTGTCACATTTTCAACGCGTCGAACGCCGCGGTGGTCACTGGTGGTGATTGGCTCTATGATGTCACGCTGTCTCATTAATCCACGTGTGACGAATAGATAATCAGCCGCGCTTGAAAAATCGATTTTACGCTCAATAACGAGTCGACGAAAGGAGCCGAGAGGCCAGCCATACGCGTCTCAAGTCGCACTTATTCGCCATGTCTTTAGCGATTTAAACGGCAGTTTCGCTGTTGCGCAATCAACGGAAGTCGACGCGGAAGTCGACGGAAGAAACGCGTTAAAGCGGGAACCTTGTCCTTGCCGTTTCCCGTCAAGCTTTTTCCGTCAAGACGGGAACACGATCGGCGCTACGATCTCAATGAAATCGCGAAGAAATCGCGAACGCAGCTTCGTCGCGCGGCGCGCTGCTTCGTCCGGCGGGCGTCGCGACGCGCGCGGCTTCGGTGTGGGAGCCGCCTAATTAAGGCCGAACGCAGCGTCGTAGTCTCGCGGGCCGGTGCTGCGCGTCTCTCCTCTCAGTCTGATATTTACGCTCGCGCTTCGAACGTTTTTCGCCCGGCGTGCTCGGCTCGACGGAAAAATCGCGACTTCGCCACCCCCGGACTATCGCCCAGTCGAAGTGCAACGTAATCCTCATCGGCGACGGTGCATCAGTTGTTATCATCGAGGCGCAGTGAGCGAGTGCTCCGTCGCCGCGACCCAGAGGTCAAACTGAGATTCCGGTTCTACGTTTCCGGCGATCCGGCGATCCTCTCACGCTGCGTTTTACCGGTCCGCGGAGAGCATTTGACCGTTCGTGCTCGCGAGAGACGCTCAGTGTCGAAAGTAACGGTCGCTGAGGCGAGGAGCAATTATTTATTAAACGCTTAAACACCAAGGGAGAGAGAGGAATCAGGGCGAGGAAGAAAGAGAAAGAGAGAGAGAGAGAGAGATAGAGAGAGAACATGTCGCGAGAGAATCTGGCGAGATCACAGCGGAAAGTCGCGGGCTCGGCCGCGCGACGAGCAGCGTGGCGTGGCACGTGCCGTGCGCCGAGTTTGCCTTGTCGGCCTTGGGCTTTCGTCTGCCTTTCGCGCGCGACGTCGGCACGCGTGATGTATCAACGAGTGTAAATACGAGCGCGAATTGTAGCGTAACCGCGTATTAGTTACGCGGGAGACGACAAACTGCGCGGCCTGGTCGCGTTGCGTAACGCGCGAGGAAAGCCTCCGCCGTCTCGCGCGACGCGACGCGACGCGACGCGCCACGCCCGTGCGTGTGCGTGCGTGCGTCGCGAAATAGAATTCCGCGCCGCGGCGAGATCGGCCGAATCGACGTGACAATGAGCGGAGCAAGTGCTCGGAGCGGTGCGTTTGCTCGACGGACACGGACGGAAATTTCTCAGCGAATTTCGTTCGCAAAAATCGGCAACTCCGTTCGCCGCGACCTCAAATTCAAGCGAGCGATTTTCTCTCGCGCGCGCGCGCGTACTTCTTTCGTCGTCGCGGCGATTCCGCCTGAAATCTCGTGAAATTCACGGTTTCGATCATCAACCGATCACGAGGATGAGGCGGTTTTTCGCGTTAGCGAGAGGCGATCCGCGCCTCGTGCCGAAACCGCATAGCTGCGAAGATCTTCCTCTCAGCGATCGTTGCCGTGTCTTGTGAAATTCGCAATAATGTTGCGGGCGATCTCCACTCTCCACGTCTCGTATCGAAATCACGTCCTGCTGCGCCGCGCCGCGCGAAATCGAATTCTCTGTATAACGCGTGCCTCGTCGCATCGGCGATCGCGCCTCCTTCGCTCGGCGCGCCGCGGATTTCGGAAACGTCGGCGAAAACAGACAGGAATCGCACGCGGCCAATCAATTTTACCTGGACGAGGCGATAACGCGCGGGCGAGGTGATCGCGGCGGCCGTAGCGCGAGGAGGCGCAAACGCACCTCGGACCGGACTTTCCAAGCGGTGGGCTACCGGTCTTGCGGCATTAATTAACCGCAAACTGGTTGCTCGCGCTCGGCAGCTAGTTGGCGCGCTCGCGCTCGTGGATTTTTGCACGAGCCGCGAAATCATTTCCGGCGATACGGCTGGCCGACGTG